AAAAGTTGATGGTATGAAGTTACTGTCAGGGGCGGATTTAGGGCCGGGGGGCGGTGAAGTGGTCGAACGCCTACTGCCACCCCCACTCAAAAGTCGAACCCCTTGCCAACCAAAGGGTTCCTTCTTTGGTATTATTTTATGACATCTTTCATTGGTCGACCAACCGTAAAAGTAGTCTTTAGCGCCAATAAATGCTAAAATTGAATGCGAGAGCGCAACAAAAAAACTCAATTTTTTGTTCAAAGTTTTGTCTAATATTCTTTTCGGGGCGCTCGGAAAATCATTTTCGTCGACATAACAAATAGTTAACAAATTTTAAAGCACGGATTGTTGTGAAGTAATGCACGATCACGGAAGTAATGTACGGATTTCTCATGTTTTGACAAGTAAACGTTAAAATTTAGAAAGAATTTGGAATCAAATCACTCTGTTGCATGAAAGTTTTGCCAGTAATATTTTTTAAACGTAGTTTTTTTAGTATAACCTGAAGGTTAGAGGTTAGATGTCACAATTGTATGGAAACAATGCAACCCTGGCAGGCTTCTACAAAGCGTTTGATGTATTAACGTAAGCAAAAAAAAAACTTAAAAACATTATCAAATGTAACAAGGGGCGGATATAGGATATTCTCGAGTGGAGGGGTGCGCATTTTTGCAAAAATTTGAAAATTTTGTCACTTTTTAAAGCCGACCATATTGATTTTTCGAACGCTCCCACAACACTATAAGGACCCTATTTTGACCAAATTTTTGTTCCGCAAGTGAAATAAGAAAAAACAGGTCAAAAATACCATTTTTAGACAGTTTTTGGAAAGTTTTGGCACCAAAGGTGCATCTTTTTGATGTGTGCTCACCTTCAAAATTAGCATGTAATGGTGCTGAAGACGCCTTAAGAAAATTTAGGGTTGGTCGACCTAAAACAGATGTCATAAAACAATTACAAAGGGGTGATTTTACGAAAAATTACGAAATAGTTATAAAATTTTAGGGTTGTCGATCAAAATGGATGTCATAGAAAATTACAGAGGGTGACCTTTGGTTGGTGAGGGTGTCGAATCGCTGAGGGGGATCGGGGAGTCCGACTCCCCCCAAAACCCCCCCTCCCCCCTCCCCGCGCCCGCCCGCCACTAAATCCGCCCGTGACAGAAAATTAATATCAGCAACTTTTTCGTTAATTGGCATTTGGTTATTGAATTTTAGTTAACTTCATATTTTTTTTTATCTGTAGTCCTCAAATTTTGAAAATTGCGAAAATTTTATGTATCAATTTTTTTTTAATTACGCCATAAAAATTGAAGCGCATTCGGAACATTCAGGGTTTCTCCTTGATCCGAACAGTCTTGTTTTGTTAATTTGAATAGATGTGCAAGCTCGTAAGTCGTCAGTTCATTGGTTTCATTACCAGATTTTTTTGTTGCAAAACGAAGTAAGAGCTTGCATGATGTCACTTTTTTGGAGTTTTACTCAGCTTAAAAGTGCTGAAGTGTTTACCTTGTCATATAAATTCTAAAATTAAGCCCGATTTTAAAGTTTTTGTTTCTGCCCTAATTTCATCCTTTTTTTGCGTTTTGTTGTTTCAGTTAGACAGTAATTTTTTTTGCATTTTTAAATTCTCAGAATAACTGCCGAAATGATTTTTGCTTATAAATTGGATTTTTTAAAGTTGGAGTTGTTTTTAATTTTATTTTAATCAGATTCCAATTCGTTAAGCAGAGAGATAGTAAACAAGACTGCTCGTATCAAGGCGAAGCCCTGAATGTTCCGACTGCCTTGTAACGTTTATGGAGCAGCAGTAATAACATAAAAAATTAAATTAAAATTTTTTTTTTAATCTGAAATTTTTTATGAAAATCATCCCCCCACACGCCATATAAAGTACAAAAAGATAAATTTTGTTCCTTGTAACAAATCAATTATGGCAAATAAGCTTCGTTCAACCAATTTGGAACGATTTATAAGACGGATTAAATCTCCGCTTACGCGTTAATAGTGCGAATTATATCGCGCGTTAATTGTCCCAAATTGGTCAAAATGGCCAAAAAGGCAATCTTTAAACCCTCATAACGTTACGAAAAACTATCACAGGTGAAATATTTTTTCAAATTTAAGCTCAGGACAACAATGGCTTTCGAACGATATAAAAAAATTTCGTCAAAAATGGCTAGTTAAAAAGTCGAAATTTGTCTGAAGAAAAAAAAACCCACCCCGAGCACAAATATTCCGTTACTTTCGTATCGAAAGTCGGAACAATAAACCAGCCGTAGTGTAAATCAGACAAAAATACACGGAGTGTATTTTATTATATTAATTTTAACGGCCTGGACTTATTCGCTTTCTCTGCGATTTTCAAAACTCTCTTGAGATTTTTGAATACTCAATTCTGATTTGCTGAAAATATCTGAAGATAAATGTACACCCCTCCATACCCCATCATGAGGGATGCCACCCCAACAAAAAATGAGATATCTTCTTTCAATTTCGTTTCTTTTTTCTGGTCTAATTAACACTTACCGGGAGGTAATTATTAAGTAGATTAAATTAGTCGAGTTTTCGACCAACCAGAATGCAGCAAAACTCTAATTATTCTTAGAACGCTCCGATCTTAGGGCTACCAATTGTTACGTAGATACATTTTCCTGCTGGGTCTTCACAAGTACAAAAATGACAAATCAGTCCCATTTGTACCAAAATAAAAAATCAATCGCGTTAGTACCAAAAATATTCAATTGGCCTAAGACTATTAAGCCGACTATTTTAAGCTCTTGGCTTAAAGTCGCCGGTGAGATAACCGGCTGTAATTTTCGTAAAGAGTCCTACCCTCTGTTGGCAAGCTCGCAACACCTTGGCGCGACTGCGGTAGTCACTATTCTGCTGTTCAGTTTTCTTCTTTTTGAACAGTAGAAAATTAATTTAATAATTCGTTGGCTCACAATTCGACCAATCAGAAATCGAGTTGAATAATTTTGGTACAAATGGGACCGGTTTTTCATTTTGGTACAAATGAACGTTGGTACAAATGGGAGTGCAGCCAGTATTTAGACAGCCGCGTATTCATACTCGTCAGTATTTAGACAAATACTGTATGAACCAATCACAATCGAGAAAAGACATAAATAATCCAAAATAAATAATAATTATTTATTAATTTCTTCTTTGTCTCGATTCTGATTGGTTGAAACAGTATTTGTCTAAATACTGACCAGTCTGAATACGCGGTTGTCTAAATACTGACATGTAACCGTACAAATGAGACTTCACCATTTTCCTTTCCTCGCACAGCTTATGTTTCTTTGGTGGGGCAGCAATTGTAAGTAGATATTCCTTTTCGTTTTATTATACAGCTTACGTTTCTTTGGCATTATTCGGGTTGGCAATGGTTGAGTAGATGCTTTTTTTTCTTTCCTCGCACAGCTTATGTTTCTTCGGTATTATTTGTTTTAAGTTATTCGGTCAACCAAGCTTTGTGGCTTTGTGTTGGGTCTCGTTTATTTTCACCAACTTTTTTGGCTACATATGGAGCTGTTTATCTATAATCAATAAAAAAAGATGGATAGTGTCTGAAACATTTCGAATCTCAAGTTTGCATGCAAAATAGATCGTAAACGAAGCAATACATACCCGAACAAAACTTTCTATCCAAAATTTCCGGAGCAGCGAATTATTCTTCCGACTTTTGAAGTAAGTGACAGAATATTTGTGCTCGGGGTAGTATTTTTCCTCCCGACAAATTTCGACTTTCTAACTAGCTATTTTTGACGGACTTTTATTTTATCGACCAAAAGGCATGGTTGTCTTGAGCTCAAATTGAAAAAAATATATATTTTACCTGTGATAAATTTTTTTAAAGAAACTGGGGTTGAAAGATTGCCAATTTTGCCAATTTGGGACGCTTAAGGCGTCATGTATTTCGCGCTATTAACGCATATTTTCGCGCTATTAACGCGGCGATTTAATCCGTCTTAGAAATTGATCCAAATTGATATAAAACTCAAACATTTAAAAAAAATAGTTTTTTCTTTACGAACACTGCTTCATAAGCCCAAAAAGGTCGGCGGGACACTCAGGGCTTCGCTCTGATATGAGCAATCTTGTGTTTGTTTGATCTCTGATTTGACAAGATTGCTCGTATATCAGGGCAAAGCCCTGACTGTTCTGACTGCCCCTTAATCCATATTGATTAGCTTTTGAGAAAATAAAATATTGAAAACTACAATTTTTGGACAAAGTCAAAGATCAAGTGTAAAAATATGAATCGCATAAAAATTTTACGACCGATTATCTAGATCCTCAATTCAGTTTGGAACGATTTTGTTGGGCAGGATAATTCGCCATACACACATAATTCGCGTTACGCTTTCAGGGTTATGGATAGAACCTTCAAAGCGCGCCTAAAATAACCAAGAGCATGGCCAAAATGGCATTTTTTAAACTCCCATAACGTTGCAAAAAATGATCGAAGGTAAAATATCTTTTTGAAATTGATTTCGGAAAGTCGATATTTTCAATGGAACAAAAAAATGTTTTGCTACAAACTATTATTTTGATCGCCGAAAATTGACTGCCGAATAAAACAAAAAGCACACCAAGCATAAATATTCTGTTTTATTCGAAAGTCGGAACAAGAAGCAGATGGTATGTGCTAAAATTGGTCTGAGAATCAAAACTTTGAAATTTTTGATAAAAAAGAAAGTCTCGTATTTTTAAATATCGATCTAACCACGTTTGAAATAAGGCAAGTCTCGCTGCCGTACCTGAAGTTTATATCTGGTATTGATTTTGCGCGGCGGAAATTTAAGAAAATAAAAAATGAAAAGTTTCTCCGCGCTTCGTGGTCGAAAAAAAATGAAGGAGACTCAAATTTTTCACGGCTAGCGCTAGAACTTCACCAGAAAGCGAGTACATCTATTGGTTGAATGATTTTAAAGCCATTAATCGGTTTTCCGAAAGCAAAATGTTTGAAAACAAAACATCATTATTAAATCACGTTTTCATTACTTATAGCGCCTGACCGGTTGTGGGTCAAAAAGGGAGGAGGGTTTATGGGCTATGCTGTTCGTGCTCTCAAGGGGAAACTGGAGTATACCAGTGCAGATAAGTCCGAATTCAAGCTACAGTTCAGAAGACGACGCGTTAAGGTTGACCAATTAAAAAAAACAGCACTTGTTTATAAATTATATGATTTCGGAAAACTATCGGCGTTTTTTCCATTTCACGCCACATGCAAATGTTTAGCTGTAAAAATTGAGTCATGGCCACACCTTAAAATGGTTCTTTTAAGGGGTGTGGGGGAAGAAGGGGGTGATATGGAGGGGGGGATTGTAGGAGATTCAAATTACACCAGTAGTTCACGCCGTATTCGGAGCATTTTTTATGTAGTCATGATTGGATTGTTTTTCGCAATGCTTTTCATCGTAGGATAAACCAATGCAGAAACCGCTCTAATCTTTGTTGGGATTTCGGCTGTTGTTAAAACTAGTTTAAGCAATTTTTGGATAATTTTGAACAAGTTTTCGGCATAGAAGTGAGATTGGTCAACCCATGAGATTAAAAGGGATTCCTAGACTCCAAAAAATACTGGCCCAAACTAATTCTCTATGAGCGGGATGTCTACGCGGTGTTCTACGGGTGTTCCCACGGGTCAGATGCCGAGTACATGTGGGTGTACAGTCGTGAGCCGACTTTGCCGTACAACAATCTTCTGATTATCAACAATGAGTTGAAACGAATGGGCATCCACATGTATTTCGTCCACATGATCGACCAGTTTAACTGCATCTAGAAGAACTGATCTACGCTATTATACGCTTAGAAGCAAATCACTTCCTAGCACGAATTAATATATTTGGATTCTTCTTTTAAAATTAATATTTGATTTTTGAACAACAATTCATTTGTTTGGGAACCGTTTTTAGAAAAAGGTGACTCAATCTGAGGCAGTTGTGGATTTAAAGGAAACAAACGCCATTCCCCACCCCTCAGGGATTGGACCCTCTACCAGCACAAAAGGTAATATTTTGTGATATTCATTTTTGGCTGACTGAACTTAAATGTTTCTAAAGGCGTCTTCGGCGTCGATTTATACCAATTTTGAGGGGAGAGCGCGCGCCGTAAAAATGTTAGTTTTTGGTCAAAATTTTCGCAAAAATTTTGGGAGAGCTTTTTTTTCGACAAAATTTTCTTTTTTTTTAAAAATCCGCCGCCATCAAAAAAATCTTAGATCCGCCGCTGGTCTGAGGTGTTCATAACAGCAATTTTGGTTTTGGACGATTTTTTTTACTCTAATCTGCTCTAATTGTACTAAAGCTATTTCTGCCTCGTTTCGGTTCTGAGGCAGATCGGTTTTGGGTATCTGGTTGATTGACAACATTTCATTTCATACGTAAATTAACCGTAATTATCGGAAATTACAAGTCAATAAAGAATATCGAACTGACATAAATTTCGGTATTTAAAAGCAGTATTCAATGTCATAAAATACGCAGAATGAAAACATTAAAAAATCAACTTTAAAACAGCGCCTGAGCAATTTGTCAACTTTGTTTCGATCTTTCAGTTTTCTATTTTTTCACACACTGTTCTTCGTTCACCAGAAAATTCATTAGTTACGACATTAGTTTTTCTCGCTATGAATTCTAGCGAGAAGAAAAACATGGCGTTGAAAGAACGTTTTTAAAAATTAAAAAGTTGAATTCCAAAAACAGACGAAAAAACGTAAGCTAGATAAATGGTATAACTCTTAATAAGTCATGCACTTAGTTCTGATAATTTCACTTCGTTTTTTTTCAGTATTTTAATATTGAAGTTTCAAAACGCCATACGCAAATTTTGATGATATGAATGCATCATATCCATCTAAAGTAATCCACCTGACTGTCCCTCCCAGAGAGAATCTTGCCCAAGAAGACTTGTGGATCAATTATCCATATAAGGTTATCTCTTTTGAATTTGAACCAGTTAATTGTTGGCCAAAATACAGTGGTTTAAATTAACTTTAAAGTTTTTCCGATGTCCATTGGAATCCCCTGAAAATATTTTAAACATTTCGTAGCCTGACAATCCAATCATGCAATGGTTCTGTGCTATCGCTTTAATTTTTTTGTTGTCATCCGAAAATGATGTGAGAGGTCCTTGATTTTTGATTTTTCAATTAAGCAGAAATTTGCATGAAGTGTATCTTTTGTCAGCTTCTCGGTTCCCCCATAACCTGATCAATTTTTTTCTGTTATTCACACTTAGCGCTCTCGCACGCCTTCAAGTTTTAATTTTTTTGTTCAAGAATGTTATACTGATGTCACCATGGATGAGATCAAGTTTTCTTCTCCAATGAATCTAAACAAGCAGTTTGGCCATGTGGAACCAGTTCTAAACTAGTGTTTATTCACAATTATAATATTGATGAAACTATCACTATAAAATATTACTAACTAACCAATCATATTCCATCACTAACACTGACAATTATTTGTAGTGCTGAAACTACTTGCAATTTCAGCACCGGAACAGTTTGAATAAATATTGGACGACAGTTGTTCTCCTTTTGGACAAGCTCCAAGACTAACTCGCAAATACCAGTATGCACTAGATCTTTTGAGACTAGGAGATAAAAGAGTAAGATTAAGATTGGTATTAGTCTAAGAAGTTGCACGAATCTATCCGGCCGAAAATAAGATAGCGTGATGAACAGACGCTGTATTTTATCTGAAAATACTCTATGAGTACAGGCCAAAGGTCATAACTCATCTGGTGCGACCATAAGTCTCGAACAAGACCTTAAGTAACTTAGAATTAGACAATTGCAAAATTGCAAAAACCTTAGATGGAATAGACAATTTAATAGAAACGTCTCTATGTCTCAATAATTCTACGCCAATTTTTCAAACAATACGGGAAATACCAGGTATTGCAAAAAGACCGAGATAAGGTTGTGAACAACGATCACGAAACGGACCAATTTACAAAATAATTGTACGACAAAAACCGGAAAAAGTTTTGGTATTTAGAATACTTTATGCTGCAAACTTGAATTTTCCTTTATTGACTTGAAAATTATTTGAAGAATAATTCTTCAAGAACTCATTTGGTGCTAAATCTAGTATTCAAACAATAACGACTGGTAAAAACAACACAAGTCGTTCCCACCAAAATCTACAGTAAATCAAAACTTTCGAATGATTAGTTTATTGATTTAAAAAAACAACTTAGTATAAAAATTTATCGTTAGTTTCTTTAACCTACACAAATCATCGTTTCTTCATCCCAGCTTCATCATCTAAAACAAAACAGCATAAATTCAAAAAACTGAAATCTTTAAAAGGAAACTCATATATAATGATTATAGTTGATGCATTTACTCACTATACAACCCTCTACCCTGTACCTCATTGTAATGCTTATTACGCATATACAACACTCTACAAACATTGGATAGCAAAATTAGGATTATCAGAAATCCTTGTCACAGATAATGCCACCGAAATCATGAAAAAATGAAATCATCACATTATGCCATCTTTATAACATTCAGCATCAACTCCGAATGTCTCATGCCCCATGGACTAATGGTTTAGACGAATGTATGAAATGTTCACTACAAGAATATCTCAGATGCATCATAAATGGAATTGATATAAGATATACTGAATTGTCAAGAGACGTTAAATTCTTCGCCTTAGCGTATAACTCACAGATAACAATAACTCTAGGATTATCACCGTATGATATGGTTTTTAACCAAAAACCACGGAACCCAATAATGTTTACAGCTAATTCATCAAACAGTACACAAGGTTATTGTCGACCTACCAAAAAATTAGTTCGTTACAATCTACCACTACATACGCATGATGAAGATCATTTTCATCAACCACAAATCTTAAAATTCGCCTCCGGAACGCACACCGAATGGAATTTGATCAGAGATAAAAAACACAATGAATATTAGAAAATTACCAGAAAATAGCTAAACAAGTACTACAAAGACAAAATGTTCAATCACAAAATATTTCACAATTCACACCAGCTACAAACTTAAAAATTGAAACATATGTTTTAATACCAAATTTTCTAACACAAAAGGAATATCTAAAAAACTACCACCAATACGAAAAGTACCATTTCAACCATTTCAATTTATTGACAAACCCACTGATGTAATTTACAAATTTTTTGATTCAGGTAAAAAAAAATTCAACATCGAAACATTCTTTTACCATATTACCCAAAAGAACACGCTCTTCGCGAACTAACACAGTTATATTCCTTTACAGGACTAAAAGTTGTCCACGGCAGCTCAGATGATAATCATCAACAAAACCAAGATATAAATTGCTCAACACAACTATCAGAATAAAAAATTACAGATTTTGAAAATACCCTACGGTAATCTCGAGAAATAAACAATAAAAAAAAAACCTCAAAAACAAAAAAAATCGAAATAATAAGAAAAAATTTTTACCATAAAAAACAAAAGAAAAATCACAACGGCAAAAATTAAAATCATTACGACTCCGAAGTCAACCACGGAAAACTTGTAAAACGTCCATCCCACAATCTGAAAGAATAAAGAAAGTTGAAATTCAGAAACCCCTGTCCAATTGATTAAACATTTTAAAACATTTTAAACTTAACAAACTTTTCTTCTTCAAAAACCAATTCATTTTCAGCCAATTAGATTCTATTTAAACATCAACCCATTCTGCCGACGCTTTGCTCTCTTCAAACACAACTGAAACTATAACTTGAAGGCCTCCAGGTCAAAAATAAGCAACACGCTAGTATTCGACAACTGAAATAAACAAAATTTAAATGTTAGAACCCTCCCCCATCAACCAGTACAAAAATCAATAAATTTATCGAAATTTACACTCAAAGTTTCCCTCAAGAAAAAATATTTAATAAATAATAAACCCAAAGAAAAAATACGACAAGATCATTTAGCCTAAAGTAGGTAATAATCTTGAATATCCCCAATCATCCAATGAATAAAAATATTAAGAAGCTCATTCCCAGACCTCCAGACTTGCCTTTACCAAGAACTGCCCATATCCAACCCACTTGCCAAAAATCAATAAAAAATCCGACCACACTCAATGTTTAACTCAGTAACGACTCAGTCCGACTTCTCAAGATAATAATAACATAACTTTTTTCAATCGTCTCAACCATATTTCTTCTTTTAATAATCTTTTTCATCCTTTTATTCTCCTTAATGTTAACAATATGTGAATGTATAAAAAAAGGCAATAATCACCTTTGCACTAGCACAACAATCTTCTCAATCATTTTTATAGAACATTAATTGCTAATCAACAACCAACACAACAACCCCCACCGACTACGATGTCCCAGCAACTTCCAACAACACCAACGTCTAGTCAAATAAATCAATACGCCTTTAATTTTGAGAAAACCCCTACATATTCGAAGAAAGACACGCGTTACTATAAAAACTTTTAATACCCGTACCTCTAAGCGAACCGCAATACGAACAAACATACAACATCTACCCAACAATACCTTAAAAGAACTAGATATCCTAGTCAAAACCAAAATCAAACATTTACAATGATAGACATATAATCCAACCCAGACGAAATAGAACTTCTGCAACACCCAGAGCTCGTTTTAATATACACTCATCACCATCCCCAAATCCTCTAGACCTTTCCTCTAACACAATTCAAAGTAACCAGCCCCTCACCATTGCAAACTCTGTCACAACAAAGTATTCAAAATATACCATCAAGTTACTCAGGATCAACTCCACATCTGAACAAGTTCGTGAAAACCCCTTTAGCCTCCAACTTCAACACAACCTCTCCCACATTGGATGACACAAGCTTTCACTCAATGTGAGCCAAACTTAGGAAACTACCCTTTATATATATCTCATCCGAT